CTACTCAAACAAAAGTAGCGGCGCCAGCTAAACCCGCGTGGGTAACCAGTCGTTCCCCTTGAACCAAAAAGTTCGACAGTCGACTGTTTTTTGGCAGATAGGGGCTCAAGAACACTATCCCTACTTAATCAAACAGGAATCCTGATACCAAATTACTGATGCAGATGCGATTTGAGAGGTGGTTAGGTTACTCCTCTTCACTCGGGAGCCTTCCGGATACCTATCTTAGTTCCTACTTTTCATTCTATAAGGAGAATAGTAGAAGAAACTAGGCCAAGCAGCCTGTTCCCTTCAAACTTGCAAAAATTAAGAGACCTAACGTATTTGCTAAAAAAATGCGTTGGGGTCCGACTGGTTTCATGGACGACTAGTTTCCAATTTGGAATGAAGACAACAAGTCGTCCAGGGGCATATGCAGTCGACACCATTACAAGCTAGAACGGTCGGTTTGGCATTCAAGCAGATAAGCATAAACAAGATTCAGTGATCAAAGATGACCAAAAAGTGGTCGACAACTTCATAATAAAATAGCCGGCCATAAAGACCGGCAAAATATTCATAACCTCGACCCCATGGTCGGGTAAAGAAAATTCACAAACAAGCGGCACGCAGGTCGGAGAAAAGTTTGAAAAATATAAGCTTTAAACATTAGGAGGGGCTTCGGAGTCAACTGCCGTCTGATCGAGTTCAATTATGGGCGCCAGATCCTTCAAGGCATCCTCTTTGTTTGACTCGTTTTCAGGGGCAGGATCCTTAGGAGCATCCGCCTCCGTTGGCTGGTCGACCATCTTCTCCTCCTCGCCTGAGCTGGAGCTGGCCGCCTCCTCCTCCTCTCTTTCATCCTCGTCAGTCGCCTGCTGCATGATTCTTCTATTGTACTCTTCAGTACAGGCGGTGAACTTGGAATCCTATTCGGCATAGTCAGCTTTTGGGAAGAGGGACGACCAGGTCATCTTCATAATATTGGCCGAGTCCTCCATCATGGCTTGAGCCAAAGCCAGCTTCTCGGTCTCAGCCTTGGCCTTAAGCTCTTCTGTGATGGCCGCCTCCTGCTTCTCTAGGTGCTCCTTAACCTTGTCCAAAGACTTCTGGAGACTTTCAGCCTTATGGGCAATGTTCTTAAGTGGTTGCAACTCGTCCCGGAGGCTTTTGACCGTCTTCTCCAGCTCTTGGTTCTGTTTATTGGCCGCCTCCAACTTGTCTTTGATCTCCGAAGTGGCAGCCGCCTGATAATAAAGAATATCAGTTGTCAAAATTTCATTTTGGGCAATTTGAAACATTGCCTTGTCAAAGTCAGAGGCGGACATGGCTTTGGTAGCTTTTACCTCTTTGTTTTTTGCACTAATCGGCCTACGGAGGCCGTGTACACGAAGCATAGTCTGAAAAAGAACACCAGGCGTCAGATTTGCAAAAAATAGGCGACAGGCAAAGTCATTCAACATTTCAAAATACTAAGTCTACCTCAGAGAGGAGACCCATGATTCTGTCAAGGTCAAGGGTGATGACTCCCTTGACCGCATCCCTCTCCTCTAGAGGGATGGCTTTCACCATAGACTTGGCCATGTTGACCAAGTCTGGTTCTTGATGGCCGCCTGTATTCAAAAATAATAAGTTAGAACAAAAGAAAGACTATCAAAGGAAGAAAAATTAAATAAGGGCCGAGAGAGCCGGTTATACCTCTTGGAGGTCGGTTGTCCCTTGGGACTTGTGTTTGTTTTCCCCCACTTTGTGGGGTGCGCGGCTATTTTTCAGCCGCCTGCTTCCTGGCAGAACCAGGCGTACTCCCAGCTGTCTGTTTCTGAACCTTTGAGTACGGCTGCTAGGAGGAAGAGGGTTTGGACGAGCCCGTCTGCAAAAGCATAAAAAGTTAATACTTGCAAAAAGAGGATTTCAAAGAAAAACTCGAAAGATCAGAACTCACCTTTGGCGTCTCCTTGGCAGGAGAGTCAGATGATGGCCGCTTGAGGCTCATAATGGAGGTCCGTAGAAGGGCGGCCGCCTTCTTGGATATGGAAATGTGGTCCATAGCTTCGGCTGCAAATATGCACATCAAAGAGTTAGAAAAACTTGAAATAAATCAAATGATACATATAGAAGCATAAGGGGCCGGCTACCTCTGGGGGCCCGACTGCTTAGGTCACAGGCGGCTAAAAAAATACTCGTCGTAAAGCCATTTAAATTTGGGAACGCAGTTCAAAGGCACCTGCTCCCGTATCCCAGTAGTAGAGTTGGCCCTAATCTCTACTTTGAAGAGTCCTCGGTCAAGTATCTCTTCCCTTGCTTGACGAGGAACAGACGGCATGATAGGGCCGCCTGCAAGAAGAGGCGGATCCCTATTCCACCTGTTGTATCGCTTGTTCAGAAGTTTGTCGGGACTAGAGATGAGGAAGAAAGTGTTTCTCCAATCTTTCCACTTGTTTTCCTTCCCCCTAGTCATCAAATAACCCTTGTGGCTTGTTATTTGGTACCAGCCGGTACCGCTTGCTTTGGGGGTCCGGCTTAAATAGTTCATATGGGTGAACGGCTCAAAATTGGGGTCTACCCCATGCATTTCACATCCGGCTACATAGCTAAGGATGTTGAACCAAGAATTTGGAGCTAACTGCCAAAGCCCCACCTCGTACCCGTCGAGGATTTGTTGAACTGTCGGATGAAGGGGAAATCGGAGTCCAGCCTTAATGGCCGCCTCATAGCAGCCAAAACAGGCGTCCCCGTAACTAGATCCCGCGGGCCAGACGACTGTATCTTCAGCATCCGGCACAAATAAATTAATGTTCGGACCCATCACATGGTCCATTTGAAAAGTCCCTATTCGCTCTTCATGGCCTTGATTCGACCTTTAGGGACGTGACAGTAATAAGGGGTGTTCAATTCCCTATGGGAGGCGGATGGTTCTGACCAGTCGACCCCTTTTTCGACTGAATGAGAAAGTCTTGCCTCATGTAAGCGAGAGTGCCTTTCTTCCGAACTTGGAGAAAGGCGGCTTGAAGAGCTAGATTCGGACTCACTATCAGAAGAGTCCGACTCCCCTCTCCCTGAGGGGGCCGACCCCTCTTCTTCAGAAGGGGCCGACTGCTGACCAGCTAGGTCAACAAAAGCATTAGAAGGGGCCACCTTAACCCCCTCCTCAGAGCCCCCCGTGACAGAGTCACCTAGGGTACCAGCGGTATCAGGCGTTTGGTTTGATAGCTCACTAACTTGGACCCGGAACGAAGAGCCATCAGAGTTTTCAATCCTCTTTGTTCTTTTGGTTATTGCCATACTGTCCTGCATAGATACAAAGACAGTTGGATTCCGGGACTTGCGCAAAGATTGAAGTACCGTAGGGCAGTCGGCACCCCTAGTCCTAGACTCAGCCGTCCCCGGTGACCGGCTGATTGCTAACCTAGGTCGTGCCGGATGCTTTTGGGGTCTCATTTTCAAAAAAAAAAAAAAAAAAAAAAAAAAGGATAAAGAAACAAACGGTTACTTGAAACTTAAGTTCTGAGAAGAAGCTTGGTCGAACAGACATCTAATAAAAGCAGACGGTTGGTAAAATCAGTCGTCCAGAAAATCAGAGCTCAAGTTCAGGGGTCTGAGGGTTCTCTTGCAAAGTTCGCAAAATGTGAACAAAAGACTTGGTCAACATGCCCTTATATAGGGTAAAATGAGAATGCAAAGGGTCACTCCTAAATTTGAAATAGGGCGGGAAAAACTCTCGGTCAATCACAGGCCGACACCTGTAGCAAGCCGTCGCCTGTTACAGGCCGACACCTGTCACAGGTGACATGTGCCCAGTCACGTGCCACCTGTGAGGGGCAAATGATTAGGGGATTTTCCCCGCCCAATCATTGTCTGCCACGTGGACCAATCAGGTCCAGCCATGTGTCCGCCACATGGACCAACAAGGACCTGACACGTGTCAAGCAACAATCAGTCCAATATGGACCAATCACGCCACGCCACGTGGCCTGCTATGTGCCCACCAGGAGAACGGCCACCTTGGCCCTGTTTCCGGGACAGGCCCAATCAGCCCTAGGTTGACCTAAACCTAATATTAGACACGTATCCCTAGGCTATAAATACAGTAATTAAGCCTTCATTTAAGGGGATTCAGAATTAATTACTCTCACCAAGAGAAAACTAAACACACGTGCTTTCTGATTGCTAGACCTAACTTAGCAATTAATTGTACTTCCTGATCACTCCTCCCCTAGAGGAACCAGATCGCCCTTTACTTTCCGCACCTTTTTTACTCCACATACAAGTACTAACTTGATCGTCGGAGGCGGAGCTCCCACCACCCGGAGTCTCCGTTGTTTTGCAGGTACAGGCGCAAGGATACTAGTCCCGGAATTGTAACTCTCCCGCAGGACATCAAAAAACCCTGAAACAGATCCGACCTTAAATGACCCATTTTGAGCTAATTGATCCGGAGTCTTGACCCGAAACTCGACCTAACCTGAAAATACTGAAATGACCCGATATGAACTTGACCCGAAGTACCGACTCGAAATCATACCCTACCTTATCATCAATTGAGCCAAACATACCCGAAACCCGAATTGACCCGATCTAAACGACCCAACAGTTAGGTTGACCTAGAAAGGACTATTTTTTTTTCTTTTTAATTAGGCTTGTGATTACTTAAACTCTAAAGTTGCACATCTACACCTTTGAAATTCTACTTCCTCCTACTTACCCCCAACCCCCTTAATTTGATATCTAGGTTTCCTCTTAGTTTTCCTTTAAACATGTTTGATCTTTTTATTTACTCTGTATTTATCTGACGCCGTCAATTATGTTCAGTTGTTCATCCGTGTAAATTATGAAATTTTAAAGAGCTCTATACTACGAAATGTTAGATTTTGATGTACTCCTTAATTCAAATTTACAAGTTCGCCCAAATTCAACGGAGTAACATTAAAACCTAACAAGACCAATAGGGATCTTGGGAGTAAGGGCAAATTTGCAATTGCAAATCAAATACGAAATACTTGAATAATAGCGGCGGAATAATATATATTAAACAAACACAAATTTCAGCTCAAATATATTACCAAAAATGAAAATTAATAATGGTTTATTTCATCTCAGGGTTGGTTCTTTTTCCTTCAGAGCGACTAATTCTACAAAACTTGCTTCTATGTTCATGTATCTAGAATAAACTACCTTGTTTTGTGAGCTTTGGAAAGCTTCTTTTTTCTCTTCTTAACGGCTTTCGGGGTTTTGTTCTTCCTAGCTTCTCTCTTCTCCTCTTTAACTTTCTTCTTGTTCTCCTTCCTGGAAGCCTTTATATCTTCCGGGGACAGCTTGCTTTCCTTCCCTTCCAATTCACCAGAACTTCCACCCTCATCTTCGCTTTCATCTTCAGAATCTGATTCACTGACACTCAAATCAGAATGAGTAGCTGCTACTTGATTCCCATTCTTTTGGTCTTTCTGTGCAGTTGCACTAAGTGCCGACTTGAGTCCAGTGATGGTTTTGTAGTACATATCACCTGTATCCTTCCCACTAGTTAATCGAAATGCATCTTCCTCAGCATCTTTGACTTGTTCTAATGTTTTTGGGATGAATGACTGCGAATAAAACAGACATGAGAATAACAAAGAGAAAGTGATCTTCCATTTCAAACACCAAGGAAATGCATGCAATAAGCACATGCCTGTATTATGGTATAAATTGTGGTTAAGCAAACGTCATATGAATATATGATTACAATTAACAAAAAAGGTTACCTGAACAAATACAGAGTCTGCAATTTGCTCCTCAGCAGACATCACATCCCCTCTAGCTAAAATCTTTTGTTGTGCCTGAGAAATATTGCAAGGTTGATTTAGTTTGTTTACCAACAAAAGTTAAAATGCATTAGGATAGATAATAAAAACAATGACAGTCTATGGCAACAGACGCTTTGTATACCTCTTCCAAATAAGTATCAACGGCTTCATCAGCAATGGTTGGATCCACAATGAAATCAAAAAGTTCTCGGATATTCATCACAGCCACACCATTTTTCCTAAAGAAATCCTGCATTTCAACAAAAAGTTTTACTTAAGAGAAAAAAAAAAGGGGGGTAAAAAGAAAGAAAAAGGAATCACAGCTATATTACTTACAGAAACATGAAGACAATCTTCACGTAAGAAATCAAGTGCATGAGGATGATCAAGGTCAACAGATTGCGAGACATCAATAATATACAAGTGACCCTGCAACCCATGTACATTTGATATAATTTTGTTTCATAGAGGTGTAGCCAATCAAAGATAAGCATGATTTAAGCGTACCTCATAATATAGTATATTATACTCGCTGAGATCCCCGTGTACCAGTTTACACTTCTGATACAGAGTCCGCATTGCTGTAATAATCTTGAAACAGAACGGGCACAATTAAAAGTAGTGTCATACATCCAATGGCAATATAAAAGATGGGGAATTGTTGATTAAGTTAACAGTACACTAGAAAAACAATTAAGCAAGGACCATTTGTAGTTTTAATAATCATAGCTATATACCCTGATGACCAGTAACAGAAAGCAAAAATGATAGTGCACTACTACAGGATTAGAAAGATCATTATCAACTTTTCGTGGAGGGAGGGAGAGGGAGGTAGATAAGAGAGAGTCAAGCTTTACCTCCACATAACTTTCTCGCAACTTGTCAAGAGATAAAGATGCGTCTTTGAGTCGAGGTGCTGCCCAACCTGCCTTGCCTGAAAAGCAAAAGGTTCAAAGGCATTGTAGGCATTATGGATCAGAATATATGTACAAATTTTGGAGTGCATAATACAAAATAATGCCTTCACTCCCATTTACAAAATAAATATATAGTCCTGCATTAATTTGGCTGCATATCTATACTTGTATTAAAAAGTGTTCTTAATAAAGCATTTATGCCATGTATAACCCTTCTCATTCATCAAGTTCATGCCATGTCATACACTTGGCAAAAAACATACACTACAATATGACAAGAAAATGTAATTATCATAGGGTTTGAACCTGGGACCAGCAAAATTTATACTTCGTATTAGAATTTTACCCACTGGTTGCTTAGTGCACAAAAATATTACATAGTAACAGGTGATTTTTTATTTTGTAATTTTTTTTAATGGTTCTTATGTTACTTTGCTAATTTCCACTACGTATTGATTGCAAGACAAAAAATCTTTGTTCCCCAATAACTTTGACAGCTAAAGTTTCTAATACTTGTTTTGAAAAAAATACTCAAAATAGAAAAAACACACTAGCCAAGCTAAATCAATTACTTCGTAAAGGATTTCAAAACAATATTTACTGCACAATAAAAGCCAAACTCAACAATCCAGGGCATTGGGCCACATGCTAAATTTTTTATGAAAACTCATTACAGATTTGACCCTCTTCCTCACACTGTTGTAATTTCTCAACAAATACAAAGGTTAGAAAGCATACACTTGAGCCTGCAGCCCTGCAGTGACCTTTTCTCTAAATAACTGACACACTAAACTCACTATTTCTGATATTTCCCAACCAGAGAACAAATTTTTAAAGTCACTATACTACACAGCTAACAGATCTCAACAAGAGAAGAAGAAGCATAAAACTAGCAACCCCATTATCTTAAGTGGGTTTATACCCATCTGAGTTTTCCCCTTGGACAGTAAGCTGTGCACAATTTCAGCAAAAAGTACTAGAGAAGGCACCAAAGAGCTACAACAGGAGGAGGGGTGCTTTCTTGTCTTTGGCTGTCCAAATCACTTCAATTCCATCCAGGCTCTAATCCATTTTTTGAATTTCAAGCTCATTTCAAGAAAAATGCAAATTGACAATATTGCTAAGAAATTGAAAACAGTTTCACCTGATTAAGACCTACGGAGTTTGTTTGAACTTAAGCAGTGACCACTCAGCAAGCTTATCGCTTAACAACCCAATTTATGCATCCAACATAAATGGTCAAAGCCTCATTAATTCCATATATAGAAAATAATTGTGAATTTATAGGGCTGGTGACAACAGTTTATCACACTCATACCTGAAATTCGGGTATCCATATACAGGTACTTGGGTTGACATTATATAAACCTAACAGGTATAATTTAGCAGAATACACCATGTCAAATATGTAAGGATTCCTACTCTGAGCTGAGCCAGATTATCTACATGCAAGGTTCATATCAACCCAATCAATTACAAGGTTCAAAATCTCAAACCAAGCCCACTGGCCTCTTGTTGGGTTCCAGACTTCCAATTGAGTTGTCTTTTACATATCATAAGGCTTAATGTCAGTAAACGAGTCCAGGCAAGTTCATCTCAGATATTTGGTCTCTCCCTTTATTAGTGAAGATTTCAAGCGTAGTTTGGAGAAAGGAGATGAAAGCATCATTTACTAGTGCTATTCAGTGTTTGAAAAGGCGCACCTCTAAGCGCTGAGTTGCAAGACATTAGGGAGTCATGTGGTTTAGGCGAGGCAATATTGATGAGATGCAGCTTAGGCACACCTGAAGTGCACAAAGATCTTTTCAGAATTTTTTTACTGTTTATATGTGCAAATTTTAACAATTCCTAGGAGGTTGATGTTTCTGAGAAATACACAGAATAATACGTACAACTTTTTGGCCTCATAAAAGTCATACTTGAAAGCAAAGACAATCAGCCCCAAGGGAGAGCAAACTGATAATTTCTCTGGAATTACATTTAACAATATACAAGTAAAAAGGGAAATTTAATGAAATACCTATGAATTCCATGACTAAAACATGGAGTCTCAAAAGAATAGGTGTAGGACAGCGTAATCCTGCTGCTTTCAGCCTGCATTGATAAAATCATGCACTCAATCAAAGTTGTTTAGCTTGACTATCATAACAAAGAAAGAAAAGGAGACAACAATTGTTCTCTTTCTCGCATCAGATCACTATAAGTGTAAACAAGAAAGATAAATTACTCTGCTAGAGTGCTAGTAGTATGAAGCTTCTAAATTGCGTGTTAAAAGTTATCATCGAAATATAAGCGTGACAAGTGTGACCGTCAAGTGAAGTGAAGATAAATATAGTACATGAAAAATTAGCACAAATCAGACACAATCAGGTTTCAATTATTTCATGAATTTTCCCATGTGTTAACAATTATGAGTTGCAACAATCTATAGTTCTATACAATATTGACCAAGCCTGTTTTAGCAGTCAGAAAAATTGCAAATTGGCAATTTTTTTAACTCCATTCATCCACAAAAATGTATGACTCTAAATAAAATTTTGGTGGAGATAACATAGAAACAAATTGGATGGAATGCTTTGACTAGCATACGGAACCTATAGATTCACATAGCCAAAGAGCTATGAATTTGTGATCAAGCCATATACCATCAATCAAAATGTTTTGGCCAGAATCTTATCATACTAAGCACGAATAATGAAGACTATCTCCAGTTAAATATGAAAAGCAAAGTACCTTATAAGATTCCTCATTTCTTTCTCTGCCCATGTCTTGACCATTTTCCGAGGATTGTGCTTGCAATACCCATATCTGAAACGATAGTCACCTTGTACATATCTATCTCTATCCCTGATTTAGGAAGGGGGGAAATGCAATGAGTTGAAATCGGCAAAGAAATAGAAGAATAGTATCTTTGTATTCTTTTAAGATTGTAAATTGGTAACCTCTTTGTTTTTTTTCCTCTTTGTGATACTTATTGATACTTTTTTTAAGAAATCATCAGTAATACAATTTGCTTCAGTTATTAAAACTATATAAATATACTAAGAATTCAACTATTCAAGGCTTGGAAACTCAAAAAGAAAAATGATAGGTTTATGAGGCAGAGTTTGATGAAAAGCAATGCCTTTACAATATATACTCCCTCCACATTCTTCAAGTATTCATGTGTTTTGCTTTTTACTATTTACTTCTACATTATTTCTTGTCCATCTTTTCCCTCTTACCCCACAACTTATCCATCATTCTACATCCACTTACTTCCACTTTTTCGTATACTTGTTCACTTTTTTCTGAAGAAAAATAAATAAAAATAAAATAGGATAGACGTGAAACTGTTTCTAATCAGCTCATTATGCAGTTAACTTTGATAGTAATATGAAAAGCAAAAGAAGCTCCGTACTCGTTCAAAATTTATTTGTTTAAAAACTCCCAAGTAGTTGGTTCAGCATGAATTGTCGCAGATATGCAGTTTCCTGTTTATGGCATGAATTGTCCCTAATGCATATTATGTAGTTTAAGTCATCACCATCTACATACAGACTTAACCTACTCCCAAGAGGCCAAGAATTTCTAGAAACTCTATATAAATAGTCACTGATCAGAATTCACGTGTCAGATCATTCACTAATGAAAAATGTTGAAATATCATTTTACTTACTTAAACACCAAAACTGAAGTTTTGTAAACTTTAACAGCTAATTCATCACCATCAGATTTTGTTGCATGGTAAACATTAGCCTGCAAAAATAAAAGCATATTCATAGAATTAGCTGTTACATTACACATACAACAAACGGTTAAATCTATAGATAGATGATATAGCACAATTAAGATAATAAATATATTTTACCTCCTTCCCAGTTGATATACAGCCATTTATATCATTAAAAACCCCACGATTCAACATCTTGAAGAGAACCATCCGAGTCCTGGGGTCAATAGCCTGGTATACAATAAGATTATTGTAGAATGTAGACATTAAGAAACCAGAATAACAAGATCAGCAAAGCACAAGGTTAAAGTTTAACTGTTTTTAAAGGCTCTAAATCAGAGGTAGTAAATGTATCAGTTGACCCATGTGATGCCTAATCATCAAATAACATGTTAAAACAGAAGTTACATCACTGGCACCCTAAAAAAAGACAGCAACTGATATGAAGGAAAGGGGACTATATTTAAATATTTTAAAAAAAATAACCAAAGAGTCCAAAAAAAAAAGGTAAACTCAGACAAACCGCTTCAAGAAATAAAAACAAGTAGTACCATAACGTACCCACCTGTTCAACAGTTGCACGATCTGCTTTCTCCGTGTTCTTTGTTTTACCAATAGCCATCCCCCGTACACTCTCACGAATTGCAGTAGTGACTGAGTTGGACATCCCAACATTTGTCCTGCCCTCCCATTCCTGTAAAAAGCAAAGAAACATAAATCAAAATACTCAAACGTCATTGAAGCAATGAACTTAGGATGACCACAAAGTCTACAATAATAAATCCCCTTACCATTCTCCATCACTGTTACAGGAGGATTTTAATTAAAACTGATTTTGGCAGGAAAGTTTGTTAAGCTTGTAAATTTTGCAATTTTGTCATTTTCAGTTTGTTAGAAGTGGGAATCTTTTCTGTTAGAGTTTGTGTAGCTGTAATGAATTGTGCTTAGGCATATTAATACTGCTTGAGTTGTAATTGAAGGTTAAGAAATGAATTACGTTGAGCCTATCCTTCTCTCTACCTCTTCTTTCTTCTCCCTCTCTCTCTATTCTGTTATTCCCCTTTTCCTGCTCTATCTATTTCTCAAATTCTGGAAACCTATTGAGTTTTGCAAATCAGAGCTCAGATAAGGATTCCTCCCTTATCAATCACCCCCCCCCCTCCCCCCCAACAAACACACATACAAAAAAATTACACAAACAAAAGAGTTGAATTGTAGGATTAACAATAACCCAAATTAATAGGGTGTTTAAGTGCCATTTCCAAAATGAAATTACGATGTATAGACAACATTTAAATAAGTACTTCTTATCAAATACTCCACAATTTTGAGCGCAACTAAGCATTTGTGAAAGATCCCATTTGACAGGTTATTCAATGAATCGTAATCATATCATCAAGAAAGAACTCGCATGGATACCAACAATTTCAAAAACTAATAACCAAAGAAGCGTAAATAAAAAAATAGAATGAGAAGATGAAGCTATGGATACAAGTATACAACGGATACATGGATATTTATACCTCTAGTGGAGAAGGTCGGATGTGATGAGTAAACTTCTGGGTACGATTCGAGAGAGGCTGAAGTGTTGAAGAGCTTAGCCTAGACAATGTCCCTCCATGAGCATTAGGCCGTCGAGCATTAAGAGTGATTGATCCACCTTCATAACCGCCCTCATCGATGTCCTTTAAATCCAACCAATCCAAAGCCTCCCCAATATCAGAATCTGAAGACCAACCCTCCTCTTCCTCCTCTTCTTCTTCCCCTTCTACTTTCACCTGTGCTTCCCTGTTTGGTTCATCGTTGAGCTTCGCCACCATTCTTTCTTCTTCCTTGAACTCTACATAATTTTAGGGATATTTGATTCAATAATCAAATAATTTTAGGGCAGGAGGGGCGGCCGCCCTAGGCCCAGGGAAAAGAGATTTGATTTCATATTGAATTATCTCGAAAAATACATAATTTTAGGGATATTTGATTCAATAATCAAATTACGCTCATAATTTTCTTTTCTTTAGGATATGATGTTTCATAATCTAAGAATTTACGAACCCTAAACTTAAAGCACTGATAATTAAATTAGATTAGATCAAATATAAACCCTAGAATGTGAAACTGATATGATGATAACAACAACAAACAAATTACCTTAGAAGCTGCTTCGATGGGGGATACAAGAATTAGATTCAACGGAGAACGCTTCAATGGAGAACGTTGAGTGCACTTCAATGAAATAACTCAGAGAGGTAGGAAATAGGAATGGAGGCCTTTAAAAGCCATGACCCACTATAGTTATAATATGGGTTAGATCCGTCCGATAAATAAATGGGGCAGGTCTTTATATGACTAATTGGAAATAATAAATTACTGATTGAGACTAATCAATAAACTTTATCTATACTGAATATCATTATTAATTATGATAAGATCCAAAGATGATTTTAGCCACTAACAAAATTGGACAAACAACATCTAAGTTGTTTCACAAAGTGGAAACGTAACACCAACATAGAGACATATTTAGGATAAAGTATCATATCTTAATCAGTAAAGCTCAAAGAACAATGGAACCCAATTAATTATAATAAAGCATTGAGTTTTACTTAAGTTGATCGATCGAATCGGATCTTACTACTACGAAAAGTGTATACTTAATTTGGTTTGGTAAGTGTCCATTAATTTTGGATGAAAGTATTTTACACTTGGGTGTAGTTTAGCATTTGCAGTTCATAACATAAGTTTTTCTTTTGCAGGCCATATCATATCAAAAAAAAAAACATTCGACTGGCCCATTTTCTTTATGATTATAGAATCCAGCCTTGATAATTTGATATACAAAGCCCACTGTATTATAAATTTTGATAGAGTTGAACTATAAAAATTTTGCTCAACCCGTTTGTGGGATGGTTTGGGGTTTTGGGATATATTTTTTTGACTAAAATCTTGTTATATTTACGGGTTTTATGCCTGATTGGTGGATTAGCTGCGCTCGATTTTGCTGGATTTGGGCGTAAAATGAAAGCCCATGCCGCTATGACTGTTTTTTTTTTTGGATTTTTCTAAGCTATGCCCCGTGATTATTGAGTTTATAAGGTGTGTCCATACTTTTTCAAAATTACAAGATGTACCCTCCAACTTAAGGCGTTTATTCAACCGTACCCTATAACGTTAATCCAACGTTAGTAGTTTTTTTATAATTTTTACAAATAGACAATTAAAAATATTTGACTTTTTTAAATGCATCAATTTGACTTTTGCAATATTCACATGTCATATTTGACTTAATTTTTTTTTTGCTAAATAAATAAATTTTATTATATAATATATCATTAGATTCGTCACAATGTTTACTTCCATATTATAAAATTTTTTTTAATTTTTACAAATAGACAATTAAAGATATTAATGGTCAAAGTTACGTTTTGGCAAATGTATCGGTCATGCTGATGCATTTAAAAAAAATTAAAAAAATAATAATAAAAACAGAGTGAGTAATATCTTGTTTCTTATTTTTTCCCTTATTGTTTAGTGCTACTCCTGATTAAAAATCCTAGATGTGTCACTGGAGGGGGTAACAGAATTTGCATAAACAAACTGTATATCCATTGTTCATGAATGGCGGATCTAGGATTTGATTAATAGGTTGTCCCGTCATCGTCCATCGCCCGCATAAAGAAGGGTTCTCTCAAGGTTATTAAAACGAATAATATCATCAAAAGAACGACCATTAACCTCAATTTCAGTCCACCCTTCATCCCCAAATCTCCAAATTAGCAATTCCCCACTAAATTTCAAACCCAAAAGAACAAAATCACCATTTTCAATAGCTAATAAGAAGGTTAATTTGATTATACAAATCATAGATCTAACAACTACCTATAAATAATCAATAAAGGCATCATACATTTAAAATATAACAAATTTTGCTTGAATAATGGAATTTGGTACTTTAAACTCTAAAGTCCTTGTCTTTATCCTACCCCTTAATTATCTTTAAACTCTAAAGTCCTTATCTTTATCATCATTATGGTTCCAGAATAAAATACAGAAAGGATACTAGTGGAACAATGCTTATGGAGGTCAAGCACTAACCTGCTAGATACCGCGTAGGTTGGACAACTATTATCAATTAAACAGAAATAATACTATAAATCTATAATAGGACTCAAATAGTCAAATATCCGGCCACAACTCACATTCACAAATCACAACATTCAAGCGCTAAATCGGCTAAATCAGAGCCCAGTAAATTTAATACAGAAAACAATCAAATTATCACATTTATCAGCTCTCCTGAAACACTCACAATATAAAATCACGAAATTTTACCAAAAAAAAAAAAAAAAACAACTCATATAGTCATACTGTCCTACAAAATTAAACATTTAAACTGCAACATACATCAAAGTACTGATATAGAATCTATAATCTTATTGCAATGTAATTATGTAAATTAAAACTAACCTCAAAAAACCGCGAATTTCCACAAAATATGAGCCACGGACTGACGGACGGACCTTATACCTAAACACCTAATCGGCGGCAACACGGAGCCACGGACGGAGCTAAAAACCGGGGCGGTGAACGTCGGCGGCGGCTGGGAATTCCGATTTAGGGGAGTTAGGGTATGGAATAAACCCAAATCTATAATCTTATTGCAATGTAAATTAAAACTAACCTCAAAAAACCCCGAATTTCCACAAACTATGAACCACGGACTGACGGACGGACCTTATACGAGTTATACTTGATCAGCGACAACACGGTGCCACGGATGGAGCTAAAAACCGGGGCGGTGAACGGCGGCGCCGGCTGGGGATTCCGATTTAGGGGAGTTAGGGACTTAGGGTTTTACAATTTGGGGGAAATGTTATGAGAGAAATGTTCTGACTTCTAATTTTCTAAATGTCGAGAATTCGAAATGAGGTTATAAAGCCAAAAAACGAAAAAAATTGTAATGGGATTTGAACCCACATCTCGTATATGATGGGAGGTAAAACAACCACTAGGCTGCAAGCTGAACTTCTTGACATTTATTACACAGATACTTTATTTAACTGTTATTGGTTTTTTGTTTTATTAAAAAAATTTAGTTTTTTTTTTTTAATTTTATTTTTTTTATAAAATAATAGGTTGTCCAAGGACCTACTATGACTACACGTGGGTCCGCCAATCATGAATCATGACTTCAAGCATGGACACATGGTCTAGTACGGTATAGAAGGCAATGTGCAGGCAAATACCACCTAAAAAGAAGAGGAGATGCATCATGCATGGGAGCAAATCCAAATGATATCTTCTTCTTCCTAATTTTACTTCTCCATCGGACCATTTCAACATAATTTATAAATTATATATATATATATGAAGTGAAAGTCTAGATTGATACTATAAGAGGGGGGTGAATTCTAGTATAGGTGAAATAATGAACTTTTTGTTAGGTTTTACAGCAAATTCAATCAAGAAAACGATTAAAAATTGTGTGGGACAAAACCTAAGTTATATAATTACAAAACAATAATGTATTGCAATAATTCAAACACAACACAATGTGTTACAACACTAATGTGAAGTTTAATTACACTTGCCTTAACTCCAAGCCGATCAAAGCACACATGAACATGAGAATAGCAATGCCCCTTGAGACTACGACCTTGATACACTGTCGAAGGCGTATGAATACTTTCCTAAAGGGATTAATTTCCTCCACACGGTGCTTGGGTTATTCCGGAAATTCCCTTTGAGATACAATTGACATCCCTTCTCGTTCTTAGCACAAAGAATCGAAACAAAGATGAATAAATTCACAATATTTGGGATGATTTCAAGATTTTCCTCACAAAAGTTTGCAAAGATTTTGAGAGAAAATTGTAGAGAATACTTGTGGAGAGAAGAAGAGAAATTTTTTGTGTATCTCCGAATCTGAAAACAAGTCTTTTTAATAAAGACTTAACCGTCAAAATTTCGCGAAAAACAGACTGGCGCGGGCGCTCCTAAACAGGAGTGAGCGCGCCTCTTCTAAACTTGCGAAATTCACAAAGGAAGGCAGAGTGGTACACGGTTTAGGCGCGACCACAGGCGCGGGCGCGTCACCAGACGCGCGGCCGCGCCAACTTCACCCTTCCAAATATCCAAATTCCAGTGAGGTTCGCGGTTTAGGCGCGACCTCAGCGCGGCCGCACGTACCTAGCGCGGGTGCTACTCATGGTTCGCAAGCGCGCAACCAACAACACTCTAAATATTCCAATACTTTTTGCGGAATTTAAACTAAGTAAAATAGTAGAGAGATATTATATGGGTTTTTCTGAATTTCCACTATGTAAATTAAGGTGATACGACTAGATCCTGTCAATTCTATGCACCAAACCTATAGTTGGTGCTATTGAGGCCAATTTTGCCTAAAATAAAGAAGACCAATTTTTGAAATTTATTTAAACAAAATAAAGAGAAAACTTGTTAATCAATAATCTAATCTTCATTTTATCATAAAATGTGTATAATTTAGTAAAAAAAAGTTGTTAGTAAAGTTCATAGGGAGTTTTTATAACCTTAAAAAAAATGAATTTAGGAACATTTTAACAACATTGCAGCAGACCATTTTTAGTGTTAGCATTTGTAGCTTTCGCCTCTACCCTCTACTATCTAGTAATGGTAGTAATTAAAGAAAAAATAAAAATAAAAAATAGCCTCACCTTTTTCACTACAAAGTTTGGATTATTCTTTGTTATTTTCATTCAATCTAATTATTTGAGAAGACAAGAGAAAATTAAATTGGGATTGTTTACAATAATATTTGAGCAACTAGATTAGTACCCGTGCGTTGCACGATGATAAATAATTTAACCTAATTTATAGTATATGAAATTAATCATTATCATATGTTTTTCATTTAGTGGGATTATAAAAGTTTACTTGTTCTTTTCTTTATCTTAATGTAATAATTCCATATCAAATGAGTGTTTTGATGTAATCACATAATCAATATAGTTTTGTATGCGGCTTAATATTTTTTTCTTAATATATTATCAATACCTTTTTATCCATAAATACCATCTCAATGCTATATATTATAGTCATTTGGATTATCAAAGCTTGGTGGCTTCCATAAGCGTATAATTCGTATCTTAATTGTCACATTTTCCTTCATTGGAATCATGTCTTCAATGAACTCAAATTGTTGTGCAAAAATTTTCAAATATCCTGCAAGATGAGAAAAGGTACTACCGAATAATATGAGTAAAACCAAATTGCAAATTGAAGTGTGGAAGACAAATATTTTCATACCTTCAAATACATAATATACACAGTGAACAAAGGTAATGTTGAAAAAAAATGCAGTGTACATACATTTATTAAAACAAAACGTTAATCACTTTGGATAATTATTGCTTTTTTATTTACACTTATCATCACAATTAAATAGGAGTGAATTTTGGATAATTAAATAGGAGGTAATTTTGGATAATGTGTATTCACTTTAGCATTGAGTCCAAAAGTCAGTCACTTTTCATTTTGATAGTTTCCATATTCATAGGTTATAACTTATTTTTTGAATGGATATAAGTTATCTTATGAACTTTGATATTCCGTATTTATAGGCCAACAATAACAGTAGTAGAGTATGCACTATTATCTTATACATGTTATTATACATATTTAGTGTAGTTTTTCCAAAAATAAAAAATTAAAAAAAATCATTGATGACATCATAAATCAAAATGACGGGAATTTTTTTAATGAGAAAGCAACACATAGGATAGGGATGGGGATGCATGATGTCAGCAACGTTTTATTTTAGTAATAGTTAATAGATAACAATGATAAATGTCACGATCTGAGCTTGACCTGAAGTCTCAACCTAAACCAAATCGATCCGACCTTAAATGACCCATTTTGAGCTAATTGATCCGGAGTCTTGACCCGAAACTCGACCTAACCTGAAAATACTGAAATGACCCGATATGAACTTGACCTGAAGTACCGACTCGAAATCATACCCTACCTTATCATCAATTGAGCCAAACATACCCGAAACCCGAATTGACCCGATCTAAACGACCCAACAGTTAGGTTGACCTAGAAAGGACTATTTTTTTTCTTTTTAATTAGGCTTGTGATTACTTAAACTCTAAAGTTGCACATCTACACCTTTGAAATTCTACTTCCTCCTACTTACCCCCAACCCCCTTAATTTGATATCTAGGTTTCCTCTTAGTTTTCCTTTAAACATGTTTGATCTTTTTATTTACTCTGTATTTATCTGACGCTGTCAATTATGTTCAGTTGTTCATCCGCGTAAATTATGAAATTTTTAAAGAGCTCTATACTACAAAATGTTAGATTTTGATGTACTCCTTAATTCAAATTTACAAGTTCGCCCAAATTCAATGGAGTAACATTAAAACCTAGCAAGACTTATAGGGATCTTGGGAGTAATGTATTAAACAAACACAAATTTCAGCTCAAATATATTAACCAAAAATGTAAATTAATAATGGTTTATTTCATCTCAGGGTTGGTTCTTTTTCCTTCAGAGCGACTAATTCTACAAAACTTGCTTCTGTGTTCTTGTATCTAGAATAAACTACCTTGTTTTGTGAGCTTTGGAAAGCTTCTTTTTTCTCTTCTTAACGGCTTTCAGGGTTTTGTTCTTCCTAGCTTCTCTCTTCTCCTCTTTAACTTTCTTCTTGTTCTCCTTCATGGAAGCCTTTATATCTTCCGGGGATAGCTTGTTTTCCTTCCCTTCCAATTCATTAGAACTTCCACCCTCATCTTCGCTTTCATCTTCAGAATCTGATTCACTGACACTCAAATCAGAATGAGTAGCTGCTACTTGATTCCCATTCTTTTGGTCTTTCTGTGCAGTTGCACTAAGTGCCGACTTGAGTCCAGTGATGGTTTTGTAGTACATATCACCTGTATCCTTCCCACTAGTTAATCGAAATGCATCTTCCTCAGCATCTTTGACTTGTTCTAATGTTTTTGGGATGAATGACTGCGAATAAAACAGACATGAGAATAACAAAGAGAAAGTGATCTTCCATTTCAAACACCAAGGAAATGCATGCAATAACCACATGCCTGTATTATGGGATAAATTGTGGTTAAACGAACGTCATATGAATATATGATTATAATTAACAAAAAAGGTTACCTGAACAAATACAGAATCTGCAATTTGCTCCTCAGCAGACATCACATCCCCTCTAGCTAAAATCTTTTGTTGTGCCTGAGATATATTGCGAGGTTGATTTAGTTTGTTTACTGATGTGTTCATTTTATATAGTATTTTATCCCCGTCCCGTGGTCATAGTTAGGAGTATTTTTAGCTCTTTAGAGCCACTTTTATTACTAATATGCGTTTTCTAGTGTTTTCGTAGTTGTGGTATTATTTTACAGGAAATTGCAGATTTGGAGCATTACCCCGTACTTAGTGAGCCACCGCGAGCATTGGAGCGGAAACGCATTGCTATGATCGTATGCCGAAGCCCAAGACCGTGTTAGAGAAGTCAACCCGGTGATTAAGGGCTTGGTCATGAATAGAGGAGCTCGGGCGTTGGACCGCAATTCAAGACCCAAGAGGAGTAAAAGAGATTTGGGCCAGGAATTGAAGCCCAAACCAATTGAAGATGCTTCACTGCCCGGCCGGGTGAGGGAGATGGGCCAGGGCGAGCTCTCGCCCGGATGCGCGCCCGACCGGGCGCGAGCAAAGCACTATTGAAGAAAAAGGCGCGCCCGGCCGGGCAGTGCCTCGCCTAGCCGGGCACGTGCTTTATTTAGATATTTTTAGTTTCTTTTATCTTTTTCTTTATTTAGGATAATTTGTTAGTATAAATACGTTTTTAGGATTAATTTGCGGATTCCGCATTCATTATCTAGTATCCGTTTTCTTAATTCAAGATTGAGTTTTTGAGTATTTTCTTGCTAGCACTATTCTCTCTACTTTCATCCATTAATACAATTCATATTTTCCGTGTAATCTTGGTACGATTTCTTCCCTTGTTTTATTTTCAGCAATTTAATTCCTTTGGTTAATTATGTCTTGCTTAATGATTTTGTTTAGTTTAGATTTAATTATGTGTTAGTAGATTTAATTCTTGGGTTTGT